GGGCTAAGAGGGCCCCTTGAGAGACTGCTGTCTATGTACATGTCACATGTGACTCTGGTGTGTAACACATATGTGACTTTGCTGTGTATGTACATCATGTGACATTGCTGTGTGTGTCTGTACCGCCCTGGATAACCTGCTGTAGCTGACCCTGAAGCTCATTTCTGAGTTGGGTGGGTGTCTCCTCCCTCCTTTGCTCCCTCTGCTTTCCCACGGGCCGGAGCTGGAGCTGTGCCCTGACCTGGCTGAAGCCCAGGCTCAACACCACCCGAGTCCTGAGCTCCCTGGGGTCGAGGACCTTTGTGCTTGTGCCTCTCGCTGGGTGAGAAGCTCTGCAGTGGGTGTCAGGTATCTTTGTGTTATCAGGGGAAATCATGTCTGGGATAAGCAGCTGGACATCAACGTGTGAGGGAGGCTCTGGACTGCCCCAGTGCCGAGGTGTTCCAGCTCCTTGGCAGGAGCCAAAGGTGAATCTGCCAATGGAGCTTGTGTTTGCTGCTACCAGTGTGTCTTGTTTCCATAAACCGGCTGAGCCTGTTGCTGTTTCTCTGGGTAACCTCAAATCCAACCACGGTGTGCTGTGCAGGAGTGTTCCTCAGGCAGGGCTGACCTCACCACCGAGGATGAGTGAGGTACAACCAGGGCGGCTCTGCTCAGCTGCTGCAGGGTCTCACTCTGAAGGGGATGTTTTGGGCACAGTTTTGGCTGTCACAGCGTGATCCTGCTCTGGCCAAACTGACTTTAAAGGCAGTGCTCTGAATCAAGAGGTTCTTTAATAATTGCACGGGGTTTTCATCCTTTCTCACTCCTGCACGGATCAGCCAGTTGGAGCGAGTCCAGAGGAAGCCACAGAGATGATCAGAGGGCTGGAGCACATCTCCAGTGAGGAAAGGCTGAGAAATTGGGATGGGTTAGCCTGGAGAAGAGAAGGTTCTGGGGAGACCTTATTGCAGTCTTTCAGTACCTCCAGGGGCTCCAGGAGAGCTGGAGAGGGACTTGGGACAAGGGCCTGGAGTGACAGAACAGGGGGGAATGGCTTCACACAGACAGAGGGCAGGATTAGATGGAGTATTGGGAAGAAATTTTTCCCTGTGAGGGTGGGGAGGCCCTGGCATGGGTTGCCCAGAGAAGCTGTGGCTGCCCCATCTGTGGAGGTGTCCAAGGCCAGGTTGGACGGGGCTTGGAGCAACCTGGGGTACTGGAAGGTGTCCCTGCCCATGGCAGGGGGTGGGACTGGGTGGTTTTGAAGGTCCCTTCCTTCCAAAATCCTTCTATGGTTTGGCATCCCAGAAGTGCCATCACATAACTTCCAGTCAAAACAGGGTCCAGCACTGAAAACCCATCAATGGATGTCTCAGTTCTCCAGTTAAGGAAAAAAAAAAAAGCAGCACAGCAAGGAAAAAGGTGGGTTTGAAGGGGATAGCTGTGTGACTGGAGGGTGTCACTGGGCAGGGTTTGGCACATCAGGGGCTCTCTAGGTTCTGCTGGTTCCTTCTCTTGGGTGATACTGGTCCCTCTCAGTATCTGCCTGGCAGCAGCAAGGGACATTTACAGGTTTTTATTTGGTTCTGCAGGGGCCTGTGAACCACCGGAGTGGCTTGAGCAACCTGCTCTGACCTCACCCTGACTCTGCCTTGTGCAGGAGGTTGGACTGGAGATCTCCCAGGGTTCCTTCCAACCCAAATCATTGCCTGGATCTGTGATAAAGGTCTGTGATGTATAAAGGATTGGAAGGATATTACATCACTGTCCCTTTTGACTGAGAAATCCATGGATCTGTATTGCCTTTTTTTAAAGACTGAAGTAACTGAATTTAATTTCAGAACTTAGAGAAAACCCTTGAATGACTTCTCCTGCGTTTGCCTGCCTTCATCTCTCAAAAGGCTACTGAGGGAGGATGTTGAAAACCTGCTGCAGAGCCTGGATTTCCATTTTCTGCCTTTCTTTTTTGGCATGTTGTAATTTTGTGGAGCATTTCTTATCTTTTGGCTCCTGGTGCTTTACAGGCTCTTTATACCTGTCACTAATTAATGGCTAATTACTGTATTACCAGTTAGTTACCCTGGGGTTGCTCTGTTCTGGGTATCGTAAGAGTTTGTGCCCCTAAATCTTACTTGCAGGACAGTTTTGTAGCTGTTTTCCATCTTACCCACCCTGTGAACACTCCCATTCTCCAGCAGTGAATATCCTTGTAATACATCCTTGATTTACAAAGGCTTTTCCCACCGGTTACCCGACTACTGTTATATTGGTACGCTCCAGTCTTTAGCTCTTTTGAATTAGCGATAACTTGAATTAGTGATAACTCTACCCTGATGGATTCCAGTGTGCTGGAATCTGTCCGTGCTGCTCCGGGATTCCTGTGTGTTGGAATCCTTCTGTGCTGATCCGTGTGGGCTTTGGGCTTCTGGGCGGCCAGGAAACGGGGAAAGATTGTGCTTACCTAATTTTCTTCAAACTTCTGTTTTTGATCTTCTCTCAGTCCAGTTTGGACTCTGAAGGATCTGGGTCAGGCAGATTTGATGGTGTTTTATTTTATGTATCAGAAAAGGTTGAAGTTATGGGAGTTTCACCTTACTGGAGACGTTCAGTGTGGTGCTAAATCCAGAGCTTGTACTTTGCCAGCTCTGGGAAATGGGCTGAACTTTGATTAACAAAAGGGATCATTGCCAGTCTCCAGAGACACAGGCTTAAGGATTCCCTCTCAGTTCCAGTGAAAATTTTTAAATGAATTTGTTCTAATTTTCCAGTGTCACAAGGGAGTCTCCTGTGCAGCCCTGGCTTTGGGAATTGGGCCATTGGGCTGACAAGCTGAAGTCCCCAGTTCACAGAATACTGAGCTGTAAATGACGTGGAAATTCGAGTCAGAGACAGCAGTTGCAGCTCTTGGTCACATCCTCTTGCCATCTCTGGCAAATATCAAATCTGAATTCAAGCATGAGAACACTGTAATTCTCACATTTGTTTTTTTGTGCCCACTAGTGATGGCAAGTGGCTGGTTTTATTTTTTGTCACATGTAAATATTTTATTCAGGTCCAGTGTAACTGACTCTGGCAGGTGGGATGTGGCACTTGTGTCCTCCTCAGTTCCTGCATGGAGAGCTGTGCCCAGCTCTGATGACAGTCTGGCAGCACTGGGGGGGTTTGGGAGGGTTTGGATATATATATATATTTTTTTAATTATTATAATTATTATTATTTAAAAAAAAAAGAAAAGAAAAAGCTGGGTGAGAGAAAATACTGTGTGTAAACGCTTCCCAGATGTATTGCTGTGCCACATATGGCATGGGTTTATTCCAGCTTATTCTGAATGTTGTTTAAAAGTGTGCTCATTTGTTCTGAGGCTGCCTGAACCCACAGGCAGAAGCACTGCAGCCTGGGCTGTGGATGTTCTGTCCCCGTGGTTATTTTCCAACATGCAGACTCTGGCAGGTCAGCATGATGTCTTGCCTGGAATTTCCTTGCATTCTAAAATTAGGAGAAGGCTCTAGGAAACAATAGCAAATCAAGTCTCTAAATTCCTGTTCCCCCTGAACCTTTGTTGTCATTTAGACTTTCACCCACTTCCTTCTCACCGAGCTGGTTTGCCTTAGATAAACTAAGTTGAACAGAGCCCACAACGGGTCAGTGATGAGAGGGCTTATTTTCCATTTATTTACTCATTATACAATTGTTATGCTACTTTGGGACACCGGGAGTGTGAGTTTCCTATCAGTGCTGTTCGTCCCACTACCCCACACCTCATGGTACCTCCCAGTTGTTCCTGGGGAGGTCTGTCCTAGCAGCTCTTGTGGAGGTGGATGCCTGGAAAGGTATCCCCCTTGAGGAGGGAGGTTCAGAGCTCACTCTGGTTTGATCCCTCTCAGCGTGTGCTGCATGAGCAGCCCTGGCTCTGTGTTTCTTGATCCGTGAGGGGTCTTAGGAGTCCCTGTGCTTCTGTGACTCCCTCCCTGCCTCTGCTGAGGGCAGACACAGGGTTGATGTGGATTAGAAGTGGCTTCTGTGTGTCACTGCGCAGACCTGAGTTTATTTCAGGTCACTTCCTAAACGATCTCATTTTCTGCAAGTGGCCCCAGGTTGTTTGTTTGTTATTCCCAGCACTCCAAAACAATCCAGGAAATGCAGCAAACACCCCAGCCCCGGTTCCCACACTGTCCAGGATCCGACCTCTGGCAATAGTCAGAAGGAGCTGCAGGATTTTCTCAGTTGATAATTACAGTCCACTGTGTTTAGAAAACTCACCAGGCCCGGTGGCGTCTTGGAGGAGTGTGACTGATGGATCCTGGAATTTGCCATTTGCAGCTTATGAGAGCCAGGGTGGATGTGAAGAGGTTAGGTGTTGTGAGGCCCCTTCCAGTCACCATTCCTACGGCTGTTGTGTTGGTAGAAAGGAATTTTCTTTCCTTCTCTAGTTCTGTGTTACTTGGGCTGTACAGCTTACCTTGGCCTTTTCCATCTGGCACAAGGGGCACAAACACCTTCCCTGATTGTGAGGGGACCTGCCACTGATGTCCTGACAACATCCTTGAACAGCAGATGTGTGTGATAGCAGGGGCAGCACTTTGGACTGGAAATCTCCCTGTGTTTTCTCCCTTGTTGGCTTGCCTGGACCAGACTCAAACTTGAGTCTCTGTCTCGAGCTGCTTTAGAGTGACTTCCCCGTGGTGCTAGCTTTGAGAGCCTGAGGCAAACTGTCGTTGTAGGAAACAAGGAATGTCCAGTTTGTATCCTACATGGGAGGGAGAAGAAGAGTGGGATAACAGATGGTAAATGAATGATCAAGCTTAACTCATTTATGCCTCTATTCTTTCACCATCATCCCTTGTAGCCCTTCATGGGAGCTCTCATTCCTGCAGTGACTGCCCTGGGAGAGCCCGACCAGGGCAGGGGTTATGGGAACAGCCAGGTGTCTCAGGGATGGCTCTCAGGCTTGGCCTGAGGTGGGGAGATGAGTTTCTCTCAGAACTGCTGCTGACCCAGTTGCGTCCTCTCTGTCACAGCCTTTCTTCAGGCTCCTGAACCTGCGCAAGCTGGGCCTGAGCGACAATGAGATCCAGAGGCTTCCCCCTGAGGTGGCCAACTTCATGCAGCTGGTGGAGCTGGACATCTCCCGCAATGGTAAGGCCAGAGCTGGGCGGGAGTGGTGCCCAAGCCCTGCAGTGTTCCCGGTGTCCTCCTGTTGGGAGAGGCAGTGCCCTTTCCACACCCTGCGGAGCGGGTCCCTCGGGGATCCTCAGCTGTGACAGTGGGGTTATCTTACCATGGCTCAGGCTGCCATCAGTACCTGCTGTCCCATTTTCCACATGATAGGCTTTTCTCAAGCCTCTTTTTTTCTTTCGCCTGTTTTTCCCAGACATTCCAGAAATTCCTGAAAGCATCAAATTCTGCAAATCCTTGGAAATCGCAGACTTCAGTGGGAATCCTCTCTCCAGGTAAGAAGGCATATGCAACCCATTAGTCCAGCTGAGTAGAAGAGTTGTATTCTCCCTGGCTTTCTCTGGTCTTTGTCTTGTAATTGTCTTCCTGTGAAGCCAAGGCCTGGGATCACCCTGCCTGTGCCAAACCTGCAGGTGTCTGCTCTCCTGGCAGGTGAAACGCTCGGCTCGGGGAGGAGCTGCTGTGTGCTCTTTCCTCTGCAGGGCCTGTGCCTTGGACTGATGAGCCTTTAGTTGTACTGGTGTCAGTGATGAGGACTTTCCTCCTCCTCCTTCCCCATGCCTTCACTGTGGTCACAAACCAGAATAGACATTGGGCTTGTGCTGCTGAGGAGGAAAGGCCTGTGCGGTGCTCTGCGCTCTCAGAGCCCCCTTTGTGCCCCCTCTGCACTGCAGAGGAGGAAAGACCTGCATGCTGTGCTCCTTCCTCTCAGCCTCTCTTTCCCTCCCTCTCTTATTCAGAACTGATGACAACCATCTTTTGAACACCACGTTAGGTTGTTGCCCTGATATCTCAGTGCCCCGAGCTGTGCCCGAGTGGGAATCTCTGCCTTGTCTCTCTGTCTCTACAGTTCTTGTCTGCCAGGGTCCCTGCAGGGGCCACTGAGGCCCCAGGTGCCCCCTGGACTTTGTGCCCAGGGCAGGTGCTGCCCAGGTCTTCCTTTAGGCAGATATAACTTTGCTTCCCTCCCGTGGTTCTGGGCACTGCTAGAGCGGGACAATCCAGCATTTCTGCACCAGGTGTTATTTGTCAGAGCCCTTTCCTGGTCCAGGGTTGAGATGAGTGTGGGGAGACATGGGGCCTCCAGAGGCTGCCTGCAAACAGCAAAAGAATTACTTCCTTCAGGGTTTTTCCCTATTCTGTCACACCTTGGATCTGTTGTGATGGTGCTTGGTCCCAGGGAATGCTGCAGTGAAATATCCTTTGTTGGGCACTTGTAGTGTTTGGGAGCCCTCCCTGCTTCCGAGTGTAAATGATCCCATGGCATGATTTAGTGTGGCATTCATGCTCGAGTACTGCAGAGCTGAGTTTGCACACCTGGACAGGTACTCTCTTGTGCAAGGGGTTTTTGTGGTCTTGAAAACAGAGCTTGTCCTGGATCAGCAGCCAGACTCAGTGTTGGTTCCTGCCTGTTTCTTTTCCACGTCTTGGTACTACTTGGGAGAAGACTGGCTTAGGGGTAATTTAGGTGTTTTGGGGCATTTGGTGCTTTGTACACAGGATTAATGGAATTTTGTTCGTGTTCTCACAGGCTTCCTGAGGGCTTCACCCAGCTCCGCAGCCTGGGCCACTTGGCCTTGAATGACGTGTCCCTGCAGAGCCTCCCCACTGACATTGGGAAGTGAGTATGGCCCTGTCCTGGCGGCGGGGAAGAGGCTGGGGTGGGGACAACACGCTGGTGGGGTGGGGACTGGCAGGACCTGGAGGGATGTGCCAGGGGCAGCTTTGCACCAGTGCTGGCAGTGCTGTGTGGACACCTCTGAAGCCTTGGCTTCTTAAAAACCTTTCTACAAAAGTTCCTGTCCTGGCCCCAGCAGCTTCTCTTCCTGTGGTCTGTGGCACAGTAAGGAGTGATCCAGGCTTCTCAAATCCTGCCTTTCCCTGTGTTCCTAGTGCCCATTTGCCCCTTTCCAAGCAAATGATGACTTTGGAATTATTTATGCTGCTGCAAAATGGCTCCGTGGGGCTTTGCCCATGGGGTGCAGTGCCCCTCCCATGGGATTTGGCTTTCCACACTTGAAGGATTTTACCTTTCTGGGCAGGCAGTCCTGTTGTGACAACGTGTTCCTTGTCCTGAGTGTGGGCACAGTGTTGTTCCCCATGGCTGCAGCAAGCACTCACCTCCATCAAAGCCATTTCCACCCCTGTTGTTTTTGTTCCCCCGTCTCCATCCACGAGTGCACGCTCATGCATTGTGCAGGACACGAGGGGTCATCCCAGGGGAAGGGAGATGAGCAGCTCCTTTTGTCCCTGAAGCCCTGTCCAGTGAACCTGGCTTTCTCGCTCCCTTTTCTCTTGCAGTTTGGCAAACCTGGTGACTTTGGAGCTTCGTGAGAACCTGCTAAAGACTCTCCCCACGTGAGTGTCTGTCTGGGGGCTGTAGGAGGCTCCTGCCTGATCATTCTTGCTGCTTCCTCAGGGACTGAATCTTCAGGGACCAGTGCAGGCTCTGGCACTTGGCTTGGGAGGGCATAGTCTGGGCATAAGTCAGCTGCATCTTGCTGAATTTCAGTAAATTGGGGTGAGGAGGGAGAGGATGGTGCAGGGCTGGAGAGCAGGGAAGAATGTTCAGAGCCTCTACTCGGTCTTTGTGTCAGGATCGCTTTGTAATAGACAGGGTTCCCCAAAAAAGCTGCTGGAAATAGTGAGAACCCTTTTTCCTGGAGAGGTGGAGCAGACAATGGATTCTTTTGGAAAAAGAGAGAGAACTGTATGGATATGGGTGTAGGAGGAGCTCTGTGCACAGTGAGGTTCATGATTTGAAGAGCAGCAGGATACAGCTGAAGGTATCTTTTGCTTCTGACATCTGTTCTGTTGAGTATCCCTCCTGGTTGTTCTGGGTGGGATAACTGCCTTCCCTGCAGCAGACAAAAACATAAGCCAGCAAGAGAGAAGAGGTAAGTGTTGATAAATGTTTCAGAGATAGGGACAGGGATGAGCTCCTGGTAGGGGACCTGGTTAGTGCAGATGATGCTCTGAGGTAGATGAACATGGAGAACCAACCAGTCCGTACAATAATCTCTTCTTTGAGCCATGGGAGTCATTTGTTCAGTTTTCTACCCTCCATCAGCTCTGTCAGCTTGTTTTCTGCCTGCTTATCCATCCCACTGATGATTCCTCAGCTTTTCCTGTTGGTAGGGGTTCTACCTGACCCCTTTTTGAACAACAGTGTGTTTTGGGCCACGCAAACTCCTCGGTGAAGGTGTGACACACGCAGCTGTTATCATCTCCTCAGGGCTCTCTTACTGTTCCTGGTGGGAATTCAGTTCAGCTGCTACTATTTTTCCTCCCTGGCTCCTCTGGTTTATTTGAGGGAGAGGGCAAGGGAGGCAGCTGATGATCCTGTGCTCAGGCATTTGGGGCTTTAGTCTGGCTGGTGTGATGGCTGTGCCTTCCTCAGAGATGCTGCTTTGACTCGAGCTCATGCTCTTTCCAAGATTATTTCCCTTTGGGACCTGCAAACACAGGCTTTATGTGGCACCAGCTACCAGCTTGTAGAATTCCGGGGCAGCTTCGACCCAGAGGACAAGGGCCTTCTAAAAAGAGCTGAAAGGACCTGCCCTCATCAGGTCTCAGGCCTCAGGTCTGGTGGTTACACCACACAGAAGCACAGATCAGAATCACACGATCGCCTTGTCTCTGGTGCCAGAGTCACCGGATCTTTTCTGCACAGAACTTGTCAGCAGTGATGCTGTCGCAGAAATGTGATAGGAAGGGACCAGCTGAGATGGTCCCGTGTGGAATATCACCACAGGGAGAAAACAAGAGCCAAAGCTCCTTATCATAGAATCCCAGGGTGGTTTAGGATGGGAGGGACTTTAAAGCTCATCATGTTCCAAGCTCCCTGCCATAGGCAGGGGCACCTTCCGCTAGATCAGGTTGCTCCAAGTCCCCACCTGGCCTGGCCTTGAACACTAATTCCAGGCTGAGAGCAAGCAAACAGGAGGAGTTTGGGTCCAGGTGTTGGGCCCTGCTGCCCTCTGGGCCTGTGACTGAGTGTCCATACAGGCAGGTACCACTGCTGGGTTCCACCATGCTGGTGAAGAGGTACAGTAGCTACATCCAAAGCTGGGCTTTCAGACTGCAGTGAAGATGGTCCCAATGGCTTTTCACCATCTCAGAACCAGCAAGTGTTTGAAGTCTGAGAATCCGGTCTGTGACCTAACCCCTTGGGTTTCCGTGGAGATCTCTCATGCCTAGTGCTCCCATGTTGCCCTGTGGTAGATCAGGGTGCTGTGCACCAAGGTACTTGTTGTGTGCTATAAAGTGTTGGAGTTTTTCACTGGAATATTAGTCCAGGCTTGATACTCATTCTGCAGTGCAATTCCAGCTTCTCTTCATCTTTCTCTAATTCCCCAAGTTTTATTTTGGGATGACTTCCAGAAGTCGAAAACGGATCTTGAAGGCCAAAGGCAATTCTGATCAGATCTGTCAGTCAGATGTCAGTCATGTCAGTGGTGCTGTCGGGTTCCCTGCCCATGCCTGAGGCTCTGGTACTTACTCTGGCTGCACACTGTGTCCAAGAATGACTCTAAATGAGTCCAGGTGACCTTGCCAAAGAGAAGAATGACTTACCCAAATGGCTGGTGCTTTGTTTTCAAAGTTCCTGAGCCCAGTGGGTAGATGGGCTTCAACACTGAGAATTTGGGATGGCATAATCCATCAGTGTGTTTTTGGGGTTTGTTGTTCTGGTTCAGCTCCTTGAAAGATTCAGCTTGCAGTGACCTTTACTTGCCAAAATTCCATTTCATTGGTCAGTCTTCTGCTGTTGACTGAGTTCTGAAACAATTCAGCCTGTACAGCTTGTGATCACCCCTCATCTCTCCCACACACGTGGGACACAGCCAGTGACTTGGGAAGGGCGGCTCTCAGCAGTGTGTTCTCGTGGAATAGTGGAGGGTGATCTATACTGAGGCCTTTTGCCAGTCCTCATGCATCAGCGTGGATTTCACAGCTCACTTGTCCCTGTTTTGGGAATTCAAGCTGTGAAGGTGCAGAGGGGCAGTCGAGGCTGCATCACCTTTAGAAGAGTCAGAATCGATGTGCAGTCATGGTGAGGGAGTGCTGTGTAACAGGATCCTTTGGATGATTCTGTTGATAAACCTTTGCAGGAGTTAATGTAATATCTCAAAGTCCACACTGCATGCAGTAGGAACTTGCTTTTCCAGCGTAGCCCAAGCAGTTTTACAGCCTGGCCCAGGCAAGGCAGCTCCCTTTTATTGCAGCCCCAACAGCCTTGGTTTGGGTGGTGTTGACAGGTGGAGCTGTTTCCAGAGAAATATGAGGGTTTCTGTTTTGGGACAGTTCCTTAGGGAGAGAATAAAGCTGTTCCCTGCTGGGGGAGTGGGCAGGGCTGGGCTAGCAGCACTGCCCTGGAACACAGTGAAAGACAGCAGCCCCCCTTTGGGGAGGTGGGGTTGGAGCTTATGGGTCAGACTCAGGAATGAGGATACATGAGCACCTGGGGCGTGTCAGGAAAACTGTCCCCTGGGTTTGTGGTACTGCAGGTCTTGTCCTTCCCCAGGTGTGATGTGTGGGGTGCTCAGGATGTGTCCATGGACCACTTGTGGGGACAAGGCTGTAGGTCCTGTTCAGTGTCTTCATAGCGAGCTTCTGTCTGTACATCGTGACCTCACCTGAGACATCATGTCACTGTTGTCCTCCCGTCCTCTTCAGCAGCGGAGACATCCTGTTTGGGGAAACTGAGGCTGTTGAATTTGTCATTCCTCCCTGTCCCTGCAGCTGTGCTCCCTTTGCCCCCCAAACATGTCTTGTCTGGTCTCTCCTGTCATCTGCTGAGTCCCTCCTGTTACCTGTCAGTCCGTGCCCAGGTCCCTGTCCTTGCTGCAGAAACGGGCAGTGATGTGAAGGTGGGGCTGGTCATCTGTTATGGTTTCACTCAAAGAGTATTTTGTGGTGGGAGGGGGAGAAGGCAAACTGGTATCAATGGAACTGGCTGTGCTGGGACTGCTGGTGCCTCTGAACTCAACTCCTTGGGGCCGAGGGTCTGGCTCAGGGAAGGTACTAGCTCCCTAAACTGCTGGGCTCAGAGGGACCGTGAGAAAGGTCAGGGTTGCCCCACCTGCTTTAGGAGTTATTAGAGATCACGCGATTTGTGCGGTGTGTGTCATAGATGTTAACCTTCCGCTCTTCATTTCCTGTTTTATCTCTCTCCCCTCTCTGCCCCCTGTGCCTTGCAGTTCACTCTCCTTCCTTGTCAAGTTAGAGCAGTTGGATCTCGGTGGCAATGACCTGGAAGTACTGGTAGGTGAGGGCTGGTGGGGAGGGAATGCGGGTGGTTGGTAGGGGCAGACCCGCGGTGCAAGCAGGCGGGTTTTCACCTGAAATGCAAAGAAATAGACCTGCAGGTTGTTTGGGAAGATTCTGATTTGCCCAGCATGGCCCAGTTGTTCTTCCCGAGTTAATGTTCTCTTCATGTGTCAGCCCTTGTGTCTTGTGCCCTGTTGGCCTCACACACAGCTCGCTCTGCCTTTTCCAAGTTCTGGGGTGGTAATGCTTCCTGTCTGGCTGCCAAGGATCTTTCCGAGGAGACTCTCTGGTGCTTTCCTTCTCCTCTGTCCTGCACTGCCCCCAGCTGTTTTTCTTCTCATCCAGCCTCCTGCCTTTCTCCTTTCTGATTTGATTTCTGCCCTGTGGAGTCCTGGGCCATTCTGTGTTGTCCCTGGCAGTAGGGGCAGCCTGGTGTGGGGGCCTCCATCCAGTGGGGACAGTGCACAGTGTGTGGAGAGCCAGGGCACAGTCTCATGATTCATCTTGTCTCGGGCACCCAGTAACATTCCGTAACTTTGCAACTGTGAATTGAGCTGTTACTGGATCCTGCTCTTTGTGTTCTGGAACGGGTTTTGGCAGAAAACCGTTGAAACTGGGAGGCAAAGGGGTTTGTACAACTTTGCTGTGCAGAGGCTGAGCTCACCTGTGAGAACAGGTGTTTGACACGAGAGCCACACTCCAGTGGAGCAGGAACTCCAAATGCTGATCAGTGGGGAGGTTTTTTGGGGTATGAAAATGTGTCTGCCATGGCTGATGGTGCCGCTGGGTCACACTGAGTTGGCCGGTGGTACCCAAGTGTTTGTTTCCATGTGTGAGAGGAGGAAGACCCATTTCATCTGTAAGGCCAGAGTTTCCCATCCCCTAGAATCATGGAATCATTTAGCTTGGAAAAGAACTCTGAGACCATGGAGCCCAACTGCTCCCTCAGCACTGCCAAGGCCACCACTGCCCCATGTCCCCAAGTGCCACATCCACATCCACGCAGGGATGGGGACTCCACCTCTGCCCTGGGCAGCCTGTGCCAGGGGTGGACAGCCCTTTCTGGTAGGAATTTCCCCAATATCCAACCTGAACCTCCCCTGGCACTACCTGAAGCTGTTTCCTCTTGTGCTGTCCCTTGTTCCCTGGGAGCAGAGCCCGACCCCCACCTGACTTCACCCTCCTCTCAGGGAGTTGTGGAGACCAGGAAGGTCCCCCCTGAGCCTCCTTTTCTCCAGGCTGAGCCGCCCCATCTCCCCCAGCTGCTCCCCAGCAGACTTGTGCTCCAGATTTAGTTCTTGCCTTACCCACTGCCAGACAGTCCTTCTGATGCCTTCCATGTTTCCCGTGGGACCTCCTGCAGCCAGTGGGCTGTCCCAGACATTCCCAAACATGCGTGCTTCTATCTTGTAATAAACTGTGCAGTGGATGGTCTTGGGAGGTGTGAGAACCAGAACAGTGCTGGCTTTGCAGAGTGGGGTGTATTTTAGTGTCCTCAAACAGCTTCTCCCTGTGGAAGGGACTGATTCTATAGCTGTCCTGTCTCTTACAGCCGGACACTCTGGGCGCGCTCCCAAACTTGCGTGAGCTTTGGCTGGACCGGAACCAGCTCTCGGCCCTGCCTCCGGTGAGTGCTGTTTGAGGCCCTCGTTCACCCCTTTGCCTCTGCCCCAACTGCTTCCTGGAGCTGTGGTGTCTCCTCTCTGATCCAGGAGCTGGGCAACCTCCGCCGCCTGGTCTGTCTGGATGTGTCGGAGAACAAACTGGAGCAGCTGCCCAATGAGGTCAGTGGGCTGGTGGCACTGACGGACTTGCTGCTGTCACAGAACCTGCTGGAATGCATTCCGGATGGGATTGGTGAGTGTCGTGGGATGGGGAGCACTGCAGGACTTCATTGCCTGGTGGGCAGTGTTTCTGGGGGAGCTTCAGCCACGAGTGTGTGTGACGGGGAATTAGGGCTCTGTGGACACAGGCACAGTCACTGAGAGCAGAAGCGATGGGTGATACAAGTGGGCAGAACTCTCCAGGAGAGTTCAGGTGCTTCTTCTGTATCAGGCATGGGTGAGGCCTGTGAACAGGCCTGATGGGAGGAAAGGCAGAGAGCCTGTGTTGTTGGGTTATGTGATCCCTGATGAGATCATGGCGGGGGAGTGTAGAACAGCATCCTTCCCCCTGGCACAGCTCACACCTAACTTCTTGTCCTGGCCAGGTCAGCTGAAGCAGCTCTCCATCCTCAAGGTGGACCAGAACCGGCTGACAGACATGACAGAGTCAATTGGGGACTGTGAAAATCTGTCAGAGCTCATCTTGACCGAGAACATGCTGACGGTGAGTGCAGGGCAGCCACCTGCCCCTCCTGTGCTTTCAGTGTAGCCACCTGCCAGGGATCCCTTCCCCTCTTCTGCCCTCTGAGCTGGATTCTTGGGTGTGTTCCAGCTGCTTCCCCGTAGAGTTTCACCAAGCTCACGGAGTCTTGGGAAGACCCTGGTGGAAGCTGCTTTCTCTCACTGATTTTTTTTTTTTTCCCCCCCTCTGAAAAATTCTTTGAGATAGTTGGGATCTAGGATAGCCATTCCCAAAGCCCATCCAGGCTGCATTGACAAGGGGGCCATGGGATAGTTTGATTGACAGTGGCCCTGCTGCAAACTGCCCGTTATTTGATTGGTAAAACACAGGGATTGGGGAATGGGCTGATGAACAGGAGGAAAGTCTTGACCAATGGAGGTCTGAGTGTGGTGTGCTGGGGGGGGAGGAGTTGGCATGGATCAGACTGTGAGCCCAAGGGAAAAAAGTTGGGCTGAAGAGCGTTATCCCAAATGAGTCTGTTGGGACAGGAGACAGCTTGTTGCGCAAACTGTGCCTTTTAGCCTTCCCCAGAGGGCTTTGTGCCTTTTACCTCAATTCTGCTGCTCCTTCCTCTTAAAACCACTGACTTGCCTCCTTCCCAGGCCTTGCCCAAGTCCCTGGGCAAACTGGCCAAGCTGACGAACCTGAACGTGGACAGGAACCGTCTGACGTCGCTGCCGGCAGAGATCGGGGGCTGTGCCAACCTCAACGTGCTGTCCCTGCGGGACAACCGGCTGGCTCTGCTGCCCCCTGAGCTTGCCAACACCACTGAGCTCCACGTCCTGGATGTGGCTGGGAACAGGTGAGCAGCAGGAGTGTGCAGGCTAACAGGGGGGTGTTCCTGGGCAGGCTGCTGTGAGGGAGATGCTGGATATGTGTGGATCCCGGGGTCTGCAATGTGGAGGAGCCCAGATCGGCTGCCAATGGATCAACCTTTGCCTGGGCAGCCCTTCTCTGTGTCGGAGATAACACAGAAGTGTGAGGGCATTTTGCCACCTGTGAAATTAAGATCAGGGGAAATCCCTGGTTACTGGCTTCCTTCCTGCAGATTCTGTGGTCTGTCATCAGTCCCCAGGTGATCGGTGCCAAAGCCCCATTCATGGTGTGCGGGTACCTGGGAGCTGTTCTGAGTTCTGCAGGTTTGGGCTGCAGTTCTGTTTGCTAGGACTGGTATTTTTGGGAGCAGCTGGAAGCTGACCAGAAGTTCTGTAGGGAACACTCTGTACTCTGGGCTGTGAAAGCATTGTTTTTCTGCCTCCAAACCCCTCATTTCACACTTCTGGTGGGAGTTGTCCTCAGCTAAAGGCTGGTGAGGGTAGGTTACTGGAGCCCAGTTCACTGCCGTGGCAGAGCCATGGGCTGCACAGATCAGCTGCTCCAGTGGTGCAGGAGTGAGGGATCTGTAGCAGATTGGCTCTCTCTCTCTGTTCGGATGGGGCAGCCTGGAGCTGAGGTGAGTTCTTTCCTGATGATGTAAGTTTAACCAGCAGTTGTTCTTCTCTTTTGCAGGCTGCAGAACTTGCCCTTTGCTTTGACAAATCTTAATCTGAAAGCCCTGTGGCTGGCAGAAAACCAGTCCCAGCCCATGCTGAAATTCCAAACTGAGGATGATGAAAAGACAGGAGAAAAGGTTCTCACTTGCTACCTGCTCCCTCAGCAGCCGTCTCCTAGCCTGGGTAAGAATCTGTGTCACAAGCACTGGCTGCAGAGACATGTGCTCCAGAGGGGCTGAGGCCTTGAACCTTCCTCTCTGCTGGATTGGACTTACTGTGAATCCTATAGCAGATCCAGGCTCCTGAACAACTGGGACACTTTTCCCAGGCAGAGATTGTTAAAACTGAGGAACTGCTTCTCTGCCAGATGATAAAGAAGCTGCAGCCTTGTCTCTGAGTGTTCTTTGATCTACTGACCGAGCAGTTCATTACCTATCGTCCTATCACCATGATATTCTTGTGTCAATACTACCGATTCCTGCCTTAATCCTACCTTTTTCCTTACTTCTTGAGTAAGGAGCACTAGAGCTAAGCCATCAGGCCCTTCTGTAGAGGTGGCTGTAGATCTGGTGGGAGATGTACAGAAGGTGACAGGAGCTGGAGGCCACAGCCTTTGTCCTCGAGGCCTCTGATGCCAGGGGCAGATCCGGCAGACATGCCCTAATGGGATGAGCACTGGCTTCCATCCAAGCCTGGAACCCTGCCCCTTCTGAAAGGAGCTCCCACTGTGTTTCCTCTCTCCCCAGAGAACCTCCTGCAGAACAGTGTGGACGAGAGCTGGACGGACACCAACTTAAACAGAGTCAGTGTCATCCAGTTCCTGGACGAACCCAGAGGAGATGATGAGGAGGAGTCTGGAGCTGAGAGACGGGTAAGAAGCTCCTGGAGGCTTGTTGGCTTTCCTGTGGAAACACAGGCACAAGCTAAGCTTTCCAACTATGGGGAGCCACTGTGGTGTCCATATTTCACCCTGTGACACTGCTGCGGGCACGTGTGAGATTTTCACAGCCCAGAGGGCATTTGGTGCCCTGAGGAACCAAGCAGGAGTGAAAGGGAATGAATTTCCTGGGAGCCATGGTGCAGGATCTTGTTCTGGTGCTGTCCCATCCATGGGAGTGGAGCTGTGTCACTGAAGTATGCAGAGAGCACTGGGGATGTCCAGAAATCCCAGCAGAGCCCTGTCAGGATAGGGTTTAGCTGACCCCCTGTCATGGGGAAAAGCTGCCCAGCCAAACCCAGGCCATCCCTCTCCCTCCAAGCATAGAGCCAATGCAGTCTGTGCTTTCGGGAATCCTGTTAGTAAAGTACTGAATCCCATAGGCAACCTCAAAACCTGCAGGAGATCATTGTGCTCTCAGTGCAGATGCAAAGGGCAGGATAAAAGTTTGTTTTCAGCAAGTGCTCCAGGGGTTTCAGTCTCCTGCAGGACTTTTTTGTTTTTTTTCCTTTTTATCTTGTGGAAAGCCATTTTTGAAATCTGAATCCTTCTGATGAGTGGTGTTTGCAACTGTCCTGGCAGCATGTGTGTGCCGCTGGCTTTGGGAAGTTTGGGGTTTTTTTTGATTGTTCTTAACATCTTTATTAATTTTAGAATGCTGGTTTTCTGGACTCTTCCCTGGGATGGAACTTGCTAAGCAGCACCAATTCTGGTGCTTTCGGACTTGGCAGACTTGTTAAGTAACTCCAGAGGGATTAGGGAAATATCCCAAGAAGATTTCCCACCTGTGTTCTGGAGGGATTTCTGTGTCAACAATTTTGCATTTACTAAGCCTGAAGCACCATTTAAAACTTCCTGTCTCCATCATTTCTCCCAGTCCCTCTGTCACATGGAGAGCAGGATGATGTCCAGAGAGAACTGAGCGTTCCCTGCCTCCATTCTTTCCCCTTCCTTCTCAGCCACAGGCTGTGTAAAGCCTGGAGCAGATCCTGCAGCAGGACATCATGGGCATGTCTGGCTAAGGCTCTGGCTCTCTGATAAAGGTGTTAGTTACCTGCAGGGGTTCATTCCTTCATTCCTGAGGCCTGGCATGTGCTGCCCAGGCCGGAATCCCTTTCCTGAGGGTTTCCCTTCGGCAGGGCCTGCAACGCCGAGCCACCCCTCACCCCAGCGAGCTGAAGGTGATGAAAAAGGTGATTGAGGTTCGGCGCAACGAGGTGAATGCTGCCAAGGCTGATGCTGACCTGAACTCTCCTAACTCAGAAGTGAGTGCTGGTCACTGGGCAATGGATAACCATAGAAAACATGGAATCTGGGGAATGGTTTGGGTTGGAAGGGACCTTACAGACCATCCAGTTCCGCCCCCTGCCATGAGCAGGGACACCTTCCACTAGGAACATGTAGGGAATCTGGGGAATGGAGAGGCAGAAAGGACTGACTTTTGGGAAAGATTGAGAGGGACAGAGAATAGATTGTCTGGATTCCAAGGGTTGGGAATCTGCCTTGTGGTATCAGGAGGGGGCACTTTGATAGAGGAGTAGGTGGGACCAGGAGACAGAGATCGGTAAGGGGAACTGTGTGTGAAGGTGCCACTTTTGTCATAGCACAGGGAGGGAAAGAGAAGACTCTGACATTCCCAGGAATGATGGGAATAGAGCGCTCAGAGAAGGCACCTTGCTGCCCTGGGATACTGAGAGTAATTGCCTACACAGGAGGTGGAATGAGGTGGGCCCAGATGATATGGAGGAGACTCAGTAGGGAAAGCCTCGGGCATCCCGAGGGAAAGCTGGTTCTGTTGGTGCTGGATCATTCCCGCCTCACACCAGTCACACCACATGACTCCGTTTGCTGCTCTGGGTTCCATCCTGACCATCCCAACTCTTTTCTCAGGAGAAGAGGCTGAGTGCCTCGTCGAATCGCAGTGAGGACTCCCACGTGTCCACCAGCACGGCCTCTGCAGACTGCAGGGCAGAGGAGGGCGACCGGGGCTGGCCCAACGGGCAGGTGCCCAATGTGCGGGACCTGGAGAAGGAGGCAAAGCCCAGAGCAGAAGAGGAGCATAAGGAAGCTGCTGGCCAGGAGGAGGATGATGTGGAAGTGGAATACAATGAGGTAGGAGCCTGGGAACTGCAGCAGGGTCATGAGAAAAAGTGGAAGGACATGGAATTTTCAGAGGAAGTGGGAAATGGATGTACAGGTAAAGGGGTATGGGATATAGGCATCGCTGGAGGCAGATCCAGGGCATGGAAGGCAGCACAAACTGAGATTATGCAGCCTAAACTGGGACTGAGACAGCTTGTGGGAGATGGATCCGTGGGAGACTGGGCTGGAGAGTGCGGGAGCCTGACAGGGGGTATGGGAAAAAAGGAGTGACAGTGACGGGTTTCAGTGTCCTTCATCCCTGGAGCTGATGGAAGCAGGTCTGGGAAAAGGAGTGGATATGGCAAAAGGCAAGGATGGTGCAATATTAACATGTTTCCTGCATGTCCCTGAGCGCACAAGCAGTGAAACTGGCTCTGCCTGATTCTGGGAGGGGGGGGACACACGGACAGCAAGTTCTGCACTGCCACACATCGGTTACCTGAGGC